CCTAAATTGTTCAGGTATTATGTATTTTACAGGTTTCTTCTGTTGGGTTTGAATTGACTTACTACCTAAAAGGGGGTTTAATGATGTTGCTTTTTGTTTCCCATTTCAATTTTCTATACATTTGGTGCTGTTATTATAGCAAATATTTCATGTAGTTGCACCATAATTCTTAGGGACAAAGTTTCACCTAGGTGCACCAGTATGAGAGCTCAAGGCCGCTGGTTTTGTTTGTTCACCTTCCTTGGTTTCTTATTTTTGTTACTTGTTCAATATTGTGAATTTTGTGGTCTGTTTTCCGTCGGTAAGTCCACATCACGTAGTGATTATCAAGATGTTGAGCAGTTCCTGCAGTTGCCTTGTTTGGTGATTTTTTTGCAGGAATTTGGTTTTAGAAGTTTACGCCCCAGTTAAACGGAAGTGGAAATAGGTTATTGGGAGAATATGTTTGCGTTTTGGTTTTTGATGAAATTGTTTCATTCTTTACTCGTTCAATGTCCTAAATTATGGGGCGAACATGTTAAATATTTTATCGTTTACCCCTATGTCACCCCTAACTTAATATTAGGTATGATGAATTTTTCATGGTTCTGCTGTTGTGTTTGAATTGACCTACTACCTAAGAGGGGTTTTAATGCTACTCCCTTTTGTTTTCCATTTAAAAAATTTATTACATTTGGCCCTTTTATTTTAGCAATATCTTATGTTGATGCACCTTAATTCTTGGCTTTGAGAGCTCAAAGCTGCTGGTTTTGTTTGTTTACCTTGTTTCTTACTTTTATTATTTGTTCAATATCGTCTCTGTGGTATTGTTTTTCCGTTGGTGTCTTGTGCAGACTTGTTTTAGTCCGCATTATGGAAGTCTATCAGGATTTTGAGTAGTTCCTGCACTTACCTTGTTTTGTGAATTTTTGCATGAATTTGATTTTGAAGGTTTTCGCTGCAGTTAAATGAAAGAAGAAATGGGTTATTTGGGGAATGTGTCGTCGTTTTGTTTTTGGTGAAATTGTTTTATTCTCTGCTCATTTGATGTCCTAAATTATTGGGAGAAAATGTTAAATATTTTTCTTTTATTGTCTTATTTTTTTATATCAAGTGTATATCTCTCCCTCTATCCCTTAATTAATATTTGGTATTATGTATTTTCAGGTTTCTTCTGTTGGGTTTTAATTGAAATCCTACTTAAGAGGAGGTTTAATGTTGTTGCCTTTTGTTTTACATTTCAAAATTTTATTACATTTGGTGCTTGTTGTTTTAGCAATATCTTATGTAGATGCACAGTAATTCTTGTCCTAGGGACAGTTTCAACTTGGTGCACGGGTTTGAGTGGAGTTCCAAGGCCGCTGGTTTTTATTCACCCTGCTTGGTTTCTTATTTTTCTGTAGCTTTCTACTCTTTTGATATGGTTATATGCTTGCTCCTTTACTCTTTGTCAAAGCAACTTTTTAAACCTCTTTTGATACCCAGAAAATCATAAATCCGTGTCTCTCTCCTTTTCCCTATAATCATGATAAGCATTTTGCTCTTCTATTGACAAATACTAAATTGTGATTTAGTTCAATAGTCTGCCTTCTGGTTATGCATCTTGTTTTCTTGGTATGTTCTCATCGGATTTTATGTCTTCAATCTTGGCATATGGGGGAATATGTTCAAAATCACTATCAATCTTATTAATCTTTTTTTCTTGGTTCGAAGATATAATATTATGATGTTTTGATTACAGATGCTGAATATGTCTTACTTCCTTCTGTGCTGTCATGTATTTGTTCGATATATGTTGCTTTATGGTCTTTCTGGTCTTTAAGCTATTAGATAATTACCGCCAAACAGTGCTTTAGCCTTTATGTTTCGTCTTTTCTTCCGTTGGTTTATTTCTAAGGTTGTCATTCCTTATATTTGGTCTCCCAAATTGTATAGCAGTCTGGTTTGACATTCTCTTTATGATGATTCCCTATTTTCGTGATTATGGAGAGTTGGTTGCATTTAGAGTTTATGACACTGTTGTGGGGAGCAGATTCTGGTTTGGTTTCTTAACAAGAACATGTCAACATCCTATTTTTAAATTCTCTCTCTCTCTCTCTCTCTCTCTCTCTCTCTCTCTCTCTTAGGTATCTTTAGTGGGGTTCTAATTGGCATACTATTTAAGAGGGGGTTTAATTCTTCTTTTCTTTTGTTTCCCATCTTTAAATATTTATAAGATTTGGTGCTGTTATTTAGCAATATCTGAAGTCTCAGGGACAGAGTTTTCCTTGGGGCATGGGAATGAATGGAGCTCATGGCCGCTGGTTTTGTTTATTCACCCTGCTTGTTTCTTTTACATGTTCAATATCGGTGAATTATGTAGTTGTCTTTCCTTTGATGTCATATGCAGATGGATCTCTTGCTTTAGGCTGTCTTTATGGAGCTGAGTATCAGGATTTTGAGTCGCTTCTGCAGTTGCCTTATTGACCCTGTTTGCTTTCTTATTTCTGTTACATGTTCAATATCGTGAATTCCGTGGTTGTCTTTCCTTTTGTGTCTTATGCAGATGCATCTCTTGCTTTAGTCTGGAGTATCAGGATTTTGAGTAGCTTCTGCAATTGTTCTGTTTGGTGAATTTTTGCGGGAATTTGGTTTTAAAGGTTTACGTTCCAGTTAGTTCTTGGCTTATAATTTAATTTCTTATTTCTTTGATGTCTGAAACCATTTGTTATGCAGATTGCAAATCTTGTCTTTCTATGGAAATCTTGCCTAACAATGAGAGGGGTCTTTTATCCGATCTTTTTTATTCGTACCGTCTGTATAATGTGGGGCACATTGTCTGAGCTATATTTCTGCCTGCAGGCGTATCCTAACTCGTGTCTATATATGGAGGTCTCACTTTCTCAATTGAGTTTGAAGAAGGGGTTTGAGTACTTCTTGGCTTATGATTTTGTTTCTTATTTCTTGAGGTTTATGAGGTATGGAACCATTATTTGAGCACTCTTTTATGCAGATGCATCCCAATGCTTGTCGGTTGCTGGAGTCTCACACTGTTGAAAGAAAAAAAAGGGGTTTTCTGAGTTATTATCTGATTTTATATTCTTGGAGCCCGTATGACATCCTAAGACAGGTTTTGCGCAATGTCTTTATGTGCAGACCATTACAATTGTCTTCTTGTGGGGTCTGATTCCTTGAAGTAGAACGAGCGGCCTTTAGGAAAGGGTTTGAGTGGTTCTCTGCTTATGATTTAACTCCTTACATGAGCCATTATTTGAGTAATGTTTTCTTTTAGAGTTTGATGTATCTTATGTATTGGTGAAGATTTTCTAAGATCTGGTACCATTGTTGGAGCAATATTCTATGCAGATGCAATTTAACTTGCCTGTGTATGGAGTTTTACTTTGTTT